ATCGAACCCCGGATTCTAGCGTTGTAAGTCCTCAGACATCCCGCTGTGCCACTGGGGGGGGGGGGGCTAGAGAAGCATAGAATTGAGCTTGAGCTAATAGCAAACCAATACTAAACCGATCAGACTAATAAATACCTAAGAGGGCATTTACTTAGTTGTCAACTAAATGTGTTAAATTCTGGCTAAACTTACATATGAACGAACATACATACACCGAACTTAGTGACATATGAACGAGAAATCACTTCATGGTAAACTGTTGTAATAAATATTCTAAATTTTCATTTTGGTTCTTGCATCCTGAATGTTTACATTAGTCTGCGTTTTCAAAATTGGGGATGTCTAGCGCATCTTTACGTGGATATCCGAAACAAACAACCCATTTTCAATATAATGTGTTTTGGCGGACGAAGTCGTGTATCGTTTGGTTTGTATAGAATATTCGCACAAAACTATGCATAAAAGATACCAGAGCTATCCATCCCGTTTTTGAACCAATGGACTAGAGGGAAGGCAGGTAGTCAACAGCCCCCACCGCCAAACTCTTGGTCTAATCTAAACGAACAGTAGTTTGACCATCACTCTTACAACGCACCTACAGTCCCAAAATGCAAAATCAAAAGCGCGAACCATGACCGTACACACTAACCATTTGGCCATATATATAGTTTGTTTGTAATTAATCACAAAGCTACACAATGGGCTATCTGTGCTCTGCCCACCACGGGTATCGAAACCCGGATTCTAGCGTTGTAAGTCCGCAGACATACCGCTGTGTCACTGGGGGGCGCCATGTATAGATAACGGTTTGTTTGTAATTAAGCTCAAAGCTACACAATGGGCTATCTGTGCTCTGCCCACCACGGGTATCGAAACCCGGATTCTAGTGTTGTAAGTCCGCAGACATACCGCTGTGCCACTGGGGGCATAGATAACGGACAATTATTTTTCTACTTAAGACAGAAATACAAGTTCTCTATGGCTGACAGCTGAACAACGGCTCAATTAAATACACGAGTTTAAGTCCTTACAACTAAGGACTGTAAAACACAGGAAATTCAAAGTGTTAATACAGATTTAAAATATGATAAAAAGCGTTAATTTTTTTATCATAAAACCATTTTGAAGCAGTATATTAAGTGTTACATCACATCATATCATAGCTCCGGTACCACACCGCCTAAACCTAATAATAATTTTGTGGAAGCTCTAAGATACCTACCGTAATCATCATTATCTTGTTAACAGCAACAATAAAAAAACAATCTAATTTTATCACTTGTTTATTATTGAATGTAAAAAACAAAACCATTTGCAGCAGAAGAAACAAAAACTTTTTTTCTTTCAGATTGTTCATTTTATTGAAATATCTTCATGAATAA